GGTTCGGGTCCGGGTTTGGTCTTACACTTGGACCCGAACCGAAATTTCTTTTTTAACCCGACGCCCGAACCGACCCGAAAAATTTTACCCGAACCCATGGTCCGGTTCGGTTTCGGATACCCGACCGGGTTGCAGTACTCTAATGTACACCAGCGTCTTTAAATCTTCTTCTTAACGTGGTTTTACTAATTTTTATACCCTTCTTTGATAATCTAAATGCAATTTGACCGACAGATTCGGTTGAATGTTGAGCTACCATCGATTGAATCGTTGCATTCTTTTTCCGGTATAGACCGGATTTTGTGCAATTTCTACGTCACCAGCTATTTCATACCTTTTAAGCCCACATTTTACAATCGACTTACTGGTTCGTATAAATACCGTGAAATATCAGCATTTGACATGTGTGGCAGATAGCTCTGCCTTTATACAAAGATGATTCCTCATCTTTTCTTTATAGAAATATCCATTCTTTGATTGAGTTATAAATTGATAAGAGAAGGAATAAAAATGTTCCTATTTATATGAGATGATGAGTACGACTAGTCCGTCCAAACAAAGTGAAAAAATAAAAGAAAGGTCATTGTTGAATATCAAAAAGAGCCCGGGCCCACTTATGGCACTTACTGTAGTTGTTCTCAAGATACAAGAGTTTTCAAGTTCATACTTTATGTGACGTTTATCTCATAGTCAAAAACATTTTCTTCATATTAATCAGTTAAAGAGAAAAGAGAATGATTAGAGCATATATTTTTTTTATTTTTTCGTATGACAGTGATAAATCATACGAGAAAAGTAAAAGAAAAACAACAACTAAAAATGATCCTTACATGAGCATGTGCCATCACCAGAGAAATGATGTATACAATTAGCATCACGTACTATTATTTTACATTGCAAGAGTTTTGCAACGAGTTTTGTCGCTCGATCTGAAAGAGTAAATGCATAAAGTGAAGCATATAATAAAATTCGCTTACGTATATTAAATCACGGTTTTTGATGCTTGTTATAATCTTCATTTTTTTTGGAGATGAAAATCTCAAAATTTGATGTTCAACTTTTCAGGATATTTCCAGGGCATGAAGACCTCATCCTGCCTTGTTCTGTGGACACCTCTCTTCCTTATGTTAGTGAAAGACAGACAGATATCAATATGGTTAAAATTTGAAATCAACCAGAATTATAATCTAATACAAATATTTCTAACGTGACATATGTTTCTCTTGGAAAAAAAATCAATTTCATTCTCACTTATGAACAAAAAAGATGCCAACAATAGGTGAAATAATCAGATGGAATTTCTTGAAAACTCAATGAATAAAACAACGCTCCGATTTATTTCTTTGATTATGGTAAAACAAAATCGAGAAAAAATTTTAAAATCGTTAAAAAATTCTGCAAATAAAAATAATTTCAATTCTATTTTATTTCATATTGAAAAGAATCAAATTAGAAGCAATTTGAGGGTTCTATTTTATTTCCCATAAGAACTCAATTTCGAATTCTTTCAATCGATTATTGAAATGATATTTATATTGTTAAAATTGCTGTTTCAAATTCGGATTTATATTTGAATAAAAATCAAAAGAATCCAATTGAATTATGTTATCAACTCAAATATCTTGGTCGCTTAGATGAAGCGGAACAAATATTCCATCGTTTATTTTGTCAATATTCAACAGAAAATTCGAAATTTTCTAATGTATTTACTTGAGTTGCTCAAGACAAAGGTTTATATGAACTTAGTCTTCAATTATATGAAAAATCTCTTGTTAAAGTTTCGTCAAAAACTCGTTCTTATTGTTTAAATAGTATAGGATGTATGTATGATTATTTCGAACAATACGATTTAGATCTTGAATTTTGTCAACATCATTAACTTTAATGAGAAATGATCTTGATCGAGCTATGTCTATTAATTATCTTGAAATAACTTTAGCTAATCAACAACAATATAAAGATGCACTTCAATCCTTTCAAAAATTCTTATCTATTCGACAAAAATTTTCATCAGAGAATCATCCAGATATAGGAATATCTTATGCAAATCGTGGTGGAGTTTATTCGTCTATCTATCAATCAATCTGTTCTCGCTTTTGAATATTTTCAAAAAACATTAAAAACATTTTCACAGAATGATTCATCTATATGCAAAGCAATAGTTTCTCAAAATATGGGCAAATCTTTTATGAGAAAAATCAATTTGATGAACCTTTATAGGACGGTCATTTACAACCGTGCTTATTTTTTATTTGACCTGGGAAGCAACGACAATCTCGCGTAAAATTCGATAATCTATTCATCCAAATATCATCTATATCGAACAAATTATTAATCAATTAAGACATAAAATAAAATTTTGTTTTTATAGAATTATTTGTTTATAACAAAATAAAAGTCATTTTGGAATGGAAAACGTAGCAGTCATTACTTTTATCATTCTGCTGTTATACGATGTCATCGATATGAAAGAAAATTCTTTTTCTTACGTTCTATCTTTTATATACACACGAAAACGAATTTTCTGTCGCATCGATGATATCGCGTATAACAACAGAATGATAAAAATGACTCGAAGTGACTTAATGAGTGAATAAATGACTGATATTTCTCCGTCCACTATTTTTGTTTAGATAAAGTTATATAAACAGATATGATCCATCTAGCTGTCGATAAATACAAGAGAAAGAAAATGACGTCATATACAATGAAAAAGGATTTCTCGAGTTGATTTGAATCAGCAGATCTTTCTATTAAAATTACTCTTCTTTTTTTTTTATTTTGTCTTGATAATTAAAATGTTATCTGTTGTTTCAGCTCATTCAGTTGTCGATTCTGCATACCTTTGTTAGACTAATGACGAAAGTTTTATTTTAATTTCTTGTGTAATATCTTATAAATTGAATTTCAATTTGTTTTAGTCATTTTTTTCACATGTGAACAAGATGGTGATATTCATGGGTTTCATAAAAAAACTGATCAAGTCAATTATATTCGTTGTGCTGATCAATGTTATTGTTTAGCTGTTTATATAAATTATATTATTTTGCATTTTTAAAAAATTTCCTTTTTATTATTCGACTATTCAAGAATTACCATATCTTCGCCGGAATAAATCGAAATGAATAAGTGCGATCATCTTCCTCATAACGATTCATTACTAAGTCTTATCCATTCTATTCAATCAGTATCAGCACTTTGTCCATCCAATTTTTTCTTTTTCGTTGGCACACGGTGTTAATTTAAATTTATTCAATTTTTTTTTCTTTTCTATATATTTATTTTTAGAGATTTTAATATGGTGATGATCAGTTTGATTGATGATACAAATAAAATGAAGTATTTTGATGGACATCAAGCACCAATATTAGGATTAAATATTTATGAAGAAAAACAATGGATTGTAAGAAATAATTTTTTATTTAAAAGAAAATGAAAATTGTTTTTTTTTTAGGCAACATCGTGTTGTAATGGATCAGTTCGAATTTTCAATATTGATAAACAAACATTAGTAAACCAATTGAATATTATCAACAAATTAAATGGTATCGAGCAATTTATTATAGAAATATATATTATTTGATCTAATTAAATTCATTTCGAAGTACTTCATCATTAGTAAAACTAGATTGGAATAAAAATGATCATGTCAAATTGATTTTATTTTCATTTAAAATTCAATTTCATGAAACTAACAAATGAACAAGAAAAAATAACATGAAAATGATTCAATTGATAATGTTTTCTTTTCTTTTTTTTCATCAAGATTATTTATGCAGATTCGTGTATTGATAGATAATTCATTTAAATAGTTATTCTCCATATCGTACATTATTTATTGGGTCTTTATGTCAATGGATAATTATCACTTATCAATCCTCTTACTTTCAACATTTATATGAAGCAAGAAACAAGATTTTTATTCGCGATGACTTTTATCGGAAAATCTTTAATTTAAAGTTTTTCATCAAAAGATGCTATTTGTGCCTATGTATGAAATACAAATGAAACGAATCGATCTACTTGTTCAACATTGACTGTTAGTTCAGTTTTTGTATTTAAATAATATCTTATACAAAAGACATGTTGAGTTAATTTGAGATATTCTTTCTTTTATTTTACGGTGAACATAATCCTGTTGATGTATCTGAATATATCTGCAAAGCAACATTAACACCATCGGATAAAATATATTTCTTTTCCTTGTATCTTTCAAATATTTTATTTGATATTTTTAGGAAGCAACTGAAATTGAAAAATGACGACGAATAATGGTAATGATGATGAGTTTCAAAAATGTCCTAATTTTTAAAATAAAATTTCATATTAATTTAAGATTCTAAAGTACTTTCTAATGATTTTGAACCAGTAGTTGAAGAAGAAGATGATGATAATGATGAAAAGCTAATACCCAAATGGTTTGAACGTGCAACATCAATAATAATTGAAACAAAACCTGTTGAATTTTAAGAATACTTTCAATCAGCTTCAACATCAAAATATCTTGAACGTTGATTTTTAACTTGGAATAATATTGGTGCTATAGCATGACATATCGAACGAATTCAAATTTTTCTTGATAATATATATTATCATCATTCTCTAACAATTGATAATAAAATAGATAAATATTCTCTTGATGATTTATTATTATAAGCAATTGTTCTTGCTTCATCAAAAACAAGAAAATTCTTATGTATTTTGTGTCAATCATCAGACTCAAATGTGTCAATGGACAATTAATATTGAAAACAATATTAAAAAATTGAATTAATTAGTTTAGCAGAAGATTTCATACGAATTGGGATATGACAAAGAACGATACGTTTAATAACTTTATCAGATATTCAACAAAGTATTATTCGTCTTCAAGCTTCAATTGTTTCCATTTTGGCTTATTAAAATCGGTTATAGATGATTCATTATTCAACACAAAGTTTGTAATCTTTTAAATCCGACATGTTCATTTTGTAGTGTCTTTCATTCAGGTCCTCGAAAAGAGCAAGCAATGTCATACGTTTTGTTGGATATAGAAAATGATCATTATTTAACAGGTTCATTAGTATTAACACCAGAACAAAATTGATTTGGTTAGGATTTATTGCATTTTTTTCTTCGTGTATTTCAATTTTTTTTGTTTATATAGTTTTTCTGATTGTAAAAAATATTATTTGAAAAGCTCTGGTCATTTAATTTTGAATCTTATTTTAGCCGTATGATCTGATTATTTTAGATTTTGTTCAATTGAAAAAATTCAACTTCGATTTCTTCATACTATGGGTTATTTAATTTCAATCTGAATTTAAACAGAAAAAAAAACACTTGATTTCAAATTGAAATAAGGGACTAAAGGGACTAAGGGACTAAAGGGACTAAAG